CTCTCTCTCTCTCTCTCTCTCTCTCTCTCTCTCTCTCTCTCTCTCTCTCTCTCTCTCTCTCTCTCTCTCTCTCTCTCTCTCTCTCTCTCTCTCTCTCTCTCTCTCTCTCTCTCTCTCTCTCTCTCTCTCTCTCTCTCTCTCTCTCTCTCTCTCTCTCTCTCTGTCTTTATCTCCTTCGGTATTTGTGTCGCTTGCTTTCCTCACAACCACGCACAACTGCGCTTGTTATCGTACAGGCATATGACCAACATCTCAACATGGTGTTGAGCGACGTCGTTGAAACGATCACAACCTCGGAAATCGATGAGGAGAGCTACGAAGAAATCATCAAGGTGTGCTCAGTTGTGCGTTTGTGTGTGCAAATGTGTGCTGCATGCTGTGATGGAAGAAGCTTGTGCCCAACTCCCAACACCCTCACAAAAGCACAGCCACAAATAGGCAAACACCCCACAGCACACACGCGCACTCTCACTCATTTCACATCGCTCTCACTCATTTCACATCACACACACACGACACACACACACACACACACACGACACACTCTCTCCCATCCCAACCATGCAGACGACGGAGAGAAAAATGCCAATGCTGTATGTGCGTGGAGATGGTGTCATTCTTGTGGCGCCTCCCATGAGGTAGACATGGCCAACAAACACGTCCCACCATCGACACCACCAACCCACACGCCCACCAACCAACCACCAACAACCGTCCTTGTGTGTTTGTTTCTGGCTTCACAACACGCCACAGTACATTACCACACCATCACAGCGTACATTGCCCGTTTTGTCGTCGTTCCTTTGCTGCAAGTTGGGTTCGTTGTACTTCAGTTTCTCAGTCCATACACAGACAACACACCATGAACGTGACACCAAAGCAACAAACTCAGCCATGACAAGGGCAAGTGATGACCCATCAAACAAACAGAGCAACGCAACGAAGGCAGAGCAGGAGATGTACACGAAAAAGCAACGTCAAACACAACAAACAAACAACTGCAACAAGGCCAAACACACACACACACACACTGCCGAGTTTCACAAGCACGAACGCGCGCCGCAGAGTTTCGCGCACACACACACACACATACACACACATACACACAATCACAGAGCACGAATGAGCACGTGCGATGGCTCAGTAGTCGAGGGCGCATATTAACGCAACGCCCCGCTTGATCCAGTGCCGCTGTGGCTTGTCGGATGGAATCTCCAGCGGCAGCACAAAGTTGGTCGAGTGCCCGGTCGTCGACAGCGTGCCTGCGCGTTGCAGTGTCTTGTAGCACGGACACACGTACATGCCAGACTCTGGCACCGCGCGGTCTGGCACGGGCTTGAGCCAGATGGGCGCCATGCTCGTGTACAACTCCTTTGGTCGCGACTCGGCCAGCAGGTGCTCCTCGGCATCCCACCGGGCGCCCTCAAGGAACAGGCCGTAGATGTAGCAGCCATCCTCGGGCCTGTGTCGCCATGGTTGATGGTGAACATCATGGTGAGACGCAGTTGTGGTGATGACACGCACAAGCAATGCACACACACACACACACACACACTGCACACACACGCGCAATGCACACACACACACGCCATCACACACACACACACAATGCACACACACACAATGCACACACACAATGCACACACACACACACATCCAATCAACCTCCCCCCCCCCCCCCTTCATCTCCACCCCTGTCTTCATGCCACCCCAACACCACCCCCAAACTGCAAGTAACTCACTTGGTGACAATGTCTTCGTGGGAAATGCGAAGAACCTCAAAGTCAAAGGAGAGAGAGTCAATGCTGACGACGTGCTTGCGAGCATAGTTCTGAAGCGTGCCGGTCAAGAACGCCTGTGGGAAGTAGAATCCGGAAATCCAGAACGTCACGGGAATACCGTTGTCGATCCAGTGCTGAATAAACTCGACGCGCCGCAGCAAGTCCTCCACCCATGACGCAAGCGGCTTGAGCGAAGGATAGGCCTTGGCGGACCACATGTCCGGGACAATGTTGTTGAACAAGCTGTTGGACAGCAGCTCCAGCTCCTCGCTCATGACCACAAGTCCCTTCAGGGCCTTGAGCACATCGTGCAGGGACGAGTGCATCACAGACAGCAGCCGGTTAAACCGAATCACCTCCTGCACAAGTGAATAAGCAATAACAACAACGAAGATGGTGGGTGGTGTGAGGAATACGACAACACGCTTGGTCCACACACTTTCGCACGTGCACACATGAAACGCACATAAACGTACACAAACACACATAAACAAACAACCACACACATGCACACACATCACAGCACACATACACACATGCACACACACACGCACACAAAAGCACACACACGCACGCACACAAAAGCACACACATACACACACGCAACGCGCAGGATATGTGCAAACCTGGATGAGGACGGTGTTCATGGACTCCTCGTAGCGAACAGGGTGCTTGGTTTGCACGTGCTCCACATCCATGGGCTTTGGACAGCGCTTGAGGATGCTCTCTGCAACTTCCGTGATGACCTTCTCCCGATCGCCAGCACCCTTGCCCCCTTTGCCGCCGCCACTCGTCGCAAGAATGCCTGCAAGCAACTCGGTCGTCTCGTTGTTGGCAAAGCTGATGTTGGCGTTGTCGTGCAGACCAAAAATCTCCGGGCTGTCGTTGATGGGCAGCGACGCAATGTGCGTGAGGAAGTCCTCGTAATCCACCGCGTCCGTCTGCTTGTACACGCCAGACGGCGAGAACGCGTGGTCTGGGTCAAGCACGCTCTCGTTGTAAAAGTCCTGCAGAATCGTCATCTGGCAGCGGCGGTCCCAGTCGTCCGTGACGCGCCCGCCATAGTTGATCTGCCCAGCCGTGTACGTCAGCACCTTGTACGGCGGCGTGTCGTAGTCGTCCAGGAACATGCGCAGCTGCGTCAGGCAGATGGCCAGGTCGCTCTTGTTGTACGGGTAGCGGATGTTGAAGCCGAGCGAGCCAAACTTGCGCCGCTCAAGTAGCACGCCGTGGAACAGGCACAACGCAAACAGCAGCCGGCGGTACGATTCCGGCTTGTTGGAGTTGGTGAGGTAGTCGTCGTCAAACGCGTCAAAGGCCTCCATCAGGTTCGCCTTGATCCCGCGCGGCGGCTCAACCGTCATCTTGGACGAGTTCTGCAGCACCGACACGGGGAACTTGGGGCTGGGGATGCTGGTCAGCCAGAGCCTAAAGTCGCGGTGCACCTTGGCCGGGTCAATGTTCTCCACCAGCCGCTCCAGCGTCGGCATCCAGCTTGGCGCAAGATGGCAGTTCTGGAAGAACACCCACGTGCCGCGCTCCGTCGCCGCCTTGAACATGGCCTCCGCCCGCGGGCCCTGGCCCTGCCCGAGCGAGATGGACGCAAGCTTCTTCGTAAACTTCATCTCCTCCGCAAACTTGTACAGGTCGGCCGCAGGGTCCGTGCCGCGTGAGAGCACAAACACGAGCGGCACCGTCGCAGACGAGTCCGGGAACACCATGGACAGGTTGGTTGTCTGCGGCTCAATGAAGCGCTGCCCGAGGTGGCGCGCAACAAAATCTTGCATCATGGGCGACACCTTGTCCAGGCGCAGGCAGCGAATGACCAGAATCTTCTGGAAGTCGTCCAGCTCGTCCTGCCAGCGCCCGGGCAGGGGCTCGCGGTGCGGCTCGAGGCTGTCGAAGATGCGCTTGAAGCCGTCCTCCAGCTCGGCAAACTCCGTGCACAGGCCCGCAAAGCGCGGCAGGTCGGATAGCTGGCGCAGCTCCTTCCAGGCGCGCTCGTTGAGCCAGGACGGGGCCGGGTTCTCCATCTCGTCGGGGACAATGGAGCTCCCGCTGATGAGGAACCGCCACTCGGCCATGTCAATGCGGTCCTCGTTCATCAGGATGCGCGCGCACAGCAGGAACGAGAACAGCAGCTTGTGCTTCTCAAACAGCGACCGGCATACGTTGCGGTACAGGCTGAAGGTGAAGAAGTTGTTGATGTTCTCGATGCGCTGGTCCAGCTCGTCTGCGGGCTCCGACTTCTCAATGCCCGCCAGGAAGAGGTTGCGGAACCACTCCAGCGAGTACTGGTACATCGGGTCCACGTGCGCAAGGTCCGTCGTGCAGAAGAACAGAATCTGCGTGCGCACGGCGACGGGCACGTACTTGCTTCTCGTCTCGTCAATGTCGCGCTCCGTCTCCTCCGCCACCTGCACCTTGGCCGTGATCTCCTGCGACTTGGCCTTGGACGCGTCCAGCGTGTTGATCAGCTCCTCGTCGTCCACGGGCGACCCCTTGGACTCGCTCAGCATCTTCAGAATGCGGCTCTCAATCTCAGCCAGCTCCTGCTTCATCTTGGCGTTCTGGATGATGAGCGCATTCTTCGCCTCCTCCAAGTCCGGGCGCTCCTTGGCCACAACAAGGCCAAGCATCTGGTCCTCAAGCCCGCTCGGCGAGAGCGTGAAGTTGATGATGGTCACCTTTGTCGACACCTCGGGCGTGTACACCGGGTTGGGCAGCTTCGTGGTGATGTAGAACTTGAAGTCGTCGTGGTACGGGATGGTGGAGTCGCCCAGCTTGATCACCAGGCTGCCGGCCTGCTTAAACGTCTGGCGCAGCAGGATGGGCTCCAGCGCAGGGTCAAGCTCCTCCCCAACGTTCTCCAGCAGACACGGGTTGCCGAAGCGAACCGCGTTCTCGAGGCTGCGCAAAAAGTCGCGGTCTGTCAGCTTCATGGTCACCAGCTTCTCCGCCTCCATCTCCTTGATCCACTTGTTCGCCTGCGCCTGCGGGTCGATGAACAGCGGCCAGCGCTGCGAGAACTTCACCACGCACGCGTTCTCCGTGGACATGGCGTCGTTGGGCAGCCCGTGGATCTGCCAGTCACGCAGCTCCAAGGGGTCGCTCAGCGTCGACACGAGGTCCGCGCCCTCAGTGTGCGGCACGTTCAGGGCGGCAAGGTCTTCGCGCCACTGCGCCGTCAGCGCGCTGCGGTACTCGCTCGTAAATGGGCCCAGGTAGGCAACCGTGCCCGCAGACACGACGACGTCGCCCACCACGTTGACGACCAGCTTGTCGCTGCGCTCCACAGACTCCTTCCAGCGCACCTTCTCGTCGCCCAGGAGCGAGATGAGCTTCTCCGCGCGCTGCAGCTTGAGCGAGCACTCCTCCGCCTTGTCCTCCAGCTGCTGCTTCTTCGTCACCATGGCCTCGTACTTGGCCTGCATCTCCGCAATGCGGTCGTTCACCTCCTTGAGGCGCGCCTTGGCGTTGTCCAGCTGCGCCATGGTGATGGCCAGCTCCTCCTTGGCCTGCGCCAGGCGCTGCCGCTTCGGCTCCACGTTCTTCGCCACGTGGTGGTACTTGTGCATGGCGCGCACCCACTTGCAGATGGACGTGCACGCGCGCGACGATTTCTCCACGGCCTGCGGCGTGAAGTTCTCGTTGGTCATGTACGGCTCGATGCGCGCGATAATCTTCTCCGGGATGTTGTCCTTGTCAAAGTTGAACAGCGAATCCAGGAACTTCTGCGGGTTTTGCAGCAGCGGCAGGCTTGCCGACCAGTAGTCGTCCACCTTCTCGCCCACCTTGGTGCCGGCAACCTTCTTCGGCTTCACGCCAAACATGATGCACACGGCCTCCATCACCAGCCGCACGCCGGCTGGCGGCTTCTGCATGGCCTTGACCTCCGTGATGTCGTTCTTGTTGAGCGACTTGAGGCTGGCCACGGCCGCGTCCAGGGCCGGCAGCGCCTCGTTCAGGTCGCGCTGCGCGTCGTCCGCAATCTCCTGCGTCTCCTGCGCCTTTGCGTTGGCCTCGGCCTCCTCCTTGCCAACCTGCTTGGCCGTCTCCTCCGCAATCTTGGTGTCCTCGGCAATCTTCTTCATGGTGGCCTCCGTCTCCTCCTTGGCCTCTTTGAGCATGGGCTGCATCTGCCGCAGCTCCTCCTGCAGCTTCGCCACTTCGTCCGCCGTCTCCAGCAGCTTGTCCAGGCCAACCGCCGTGCGGTTCCTGCTCTCCAGCAGCGACTTGCGCTTCTGCCCAAGCATCTTGGAGAAGATGCCCAAGAGGTCCAGGTAGCTGGTGGGCGTGACAAAGTTGACGCGGCCAAGCTCCGCCTCAAACTGCGCAGACTTGTTGAGCACGGACTGCTGCACATTGACGCAGGCGGTGACCAGGCCGTCCACCAGCGCGTCGTCGTGGTGCAGCTCGGGCAGGTCGTTCATAAAGTACGTCGCCACAGAGCGCAGCGCCTGCTCTGGCCACGCGCTGAACCAGTCAATCGTGCAGCAGTTGACGAGCGCCGGGAACTGGCGCAGCCGCGAGCGGAACACCTCGCCAATCGGCGACATGCACACCACGCAGTGGATGTTGCGCCGCACGCGCCTGCAGTACGCAGTCATGAAGTTTGTCTTAGTGGGCGCCTGCCCCGCCGCCTGCACGACGGGCTTCATGGCGGTGAAGATCTCGTCCTGCTCCGACGGGTCGTAGATGCCCGGCACGTCGCCGCTGTTCAGGATGTTGTTCAGGTCCTCCAGGAAGCTCTCGTCCTTGATCTGCGTGTCGCTGAAGAGGAACACCACCTGCTGGTCCTGCAGGCCAGCCTTCTTCAGCACCGTGCGCAGGTCCTCCCGCCACTCCGGTAGGCCGTAGTTCTTCGACAGCTCAATCTGGAAGCACTCAAAGTCCGCCATGAACGCCGCCAGGCGCGTCATGCTCTGGCGCCCGGAGCCGCCCACGCCGAGGCACAGCGCGTTGCCGAGAGGCTGGCGGATGATGCGGCTGATGCGGCAGGCGTGCTCAATGGCGTCCTCGAACAGCACCAGCTTCATGCGCGCCGTGGTGGAGCTGTTGTAGTCCTCCAGCGCCTCGTCCATGACAGCCTTGATCTTCTCCAGGCCAGGCAGCTCCTTGTACTTGCGGTTGTCCGCAGAGCCGTCCATAAAGTCGCCATACAGCACGGGCTCGCGTGCAACGACGTCACCCCACTCGAGCGAGAACGTCTCTGTGACGCGCCCGCGGGTGAGGGAGTTGAACCACTCGCGGTCCTCGTCGTTGATGAGGCGGTCGCGAAACACGCGCCGGCACTCGTGCGTCCACAGGCGAATCACGTCTGGCGTCTCGCGGAGCGTGCCCACGTCGTTCATCAGCATGCCCTGGAACACCTTGGCCAGGTCGCGCAGGTTGAACGTGTAGTGCACCTTGGCCGGCGTGGGCAGGAGCTCGCGCGTGATGGTGTCGTACACGCCAATGGTGGTGCGCACAAGCTCGGCGGCCAGGTTCTCTGCCAGGCCCTCCGTCTGCCGCAAGTACGCGTCGAGGATGGGCTCGAAGATGGTTGCCTTCTCGCTCGAGCTCATCTCCGTGAAGGCGAGGAAGTTGAAGTGGCGCGTGAACCGCTGCGTGATTGGGTTGCGGCCGCCGCCGGGCGGGCCCATGGCGCACACAAACGTCATGTCCACGAGCTTGCGGAAGGCGCCAATGTTCTTGCGGTCGTACCAGCCACCGTGGTCTTGCCACTGGCGCAGCAGCTCAATCGGTGGCTGGGCGCCGTACTCCTCCTTGGCGGGCATGTTCAGGTCGTCAACAAAGAACACAAACTGCTTGCCGAGCGGCGGGCCGAAGATGCCCTTGCGGCGCTTGTCCAGCTTTGCATCAATCATGTCCTGTGTCTGGTTGGCGGACGTCCGCGCGGAGAAGGCAATAAAGTGCGCAATGTACTGCGAGGGCATGGAGTGCAGCAGCTTCGTGCTCACCGTGAGCGTCTTGGCCGTACCCGTGCGGCCGACAACCAGCAGCGGCTTGGAGGCCACAACCAGCTTCTCCACCAGGTACGAGTAGCGCATCGTGTCCACCGTCGGCACGATGATGCTGGAGAACTCGTCCTTGGGGTTGACGGTGAAGTCTGGCAGGTATGTTGACCAGAGCACCCAGTGCAAGTCACCATCGCCGCCAGCAGCGGCGTCGCTGTCCTCGTCGTGGTCGCCCTCGTCCTCTTCCTCCTCGCCCGCAGCGAATGCGCCGTCGTTGCTGAGGCGGTAGTCGTACACGGTACCGTCGTCCGGGAAGGGCATGCTGGCGCCAGCGCTGGCCATGGTCTCGCGCAGCCAGGAGTCGAAGATGGCGCGGCCAGACTCGTCGCAGGACGCACCAACGGACCAGATGAGCGAGAAGATGAACCACGGCTCAATCATGGTGGGCAGCATGTCCAGGCGGTTGGCGGGGATCTCAAAGCCCTCCTTGCGGACGTAGGGCCGGAAGAAGCAGTCCAGCATCTTCATGAGGCTCACGGCCAGCTGCGAGTCGACGGTGGTGACCACCTCCTTGGTCTGGCGCCGCACCACGTGGATGGCAGGCTCCATGTATGTGGAGAAGAGGGAGCGCAGCTGGTCCGAGAACGGCTTGATGTCCTCGGGCAGGGCGCTCTGCAGCCACGAATCCACAAACGGCTGCAGGCCGAGGATGGACGGCTCGAGGTAGACCATGCCACAGCGCGACACCGTGGCCGGGGAGGCGACGGTCAGGTCCTCCACCTCGAACATCATGGTCATGGTCGGGGTGAGGGCGATAATCTCGCCAGAGGCAAGGCAGAGCTTCTTGTTGTCGTCGAGCACGGTGTTCATGTTCTCGATCCAGATGGCATCGACGGGCCCATCAAACACAAACCAGCGCTTGTGGTCGTCGTCTGCCGCGACGCCCTGGCGAATCAGCGTGGACAGGATGCCGTCGGTCCACTCGTGGGTCATCTCGTCGAAAGCGCCGTACAGCTGGCCCATGGTGATGGACTTGGGGTTGAGCACGTTCGGGTGCACGGGCGTGTACAAGGCGCCCGAGTCTGCGCGCTCGCCCTGCAGCGACGTTAGCGCATCGGCCAGCACCTCGTAGCAGCGCGTCTTGCCGGAGCCCGTGGGCCCAACAAGCATGAGGCCGTGGCGCACAACGGTGGTCTCGTACAGCTGGATGACCTTGGTGACAAAGCCATCGACCGGCTGCAGGTCGTGCTTGCGGCACGTGTCGCGGATGGCGACTTCCAGCGCGCCGTAGTCCACGTCGGGCTGCTTCGTCTGCGGGAAGAGATCCGACACAATGCCGTTGAAGAGGACAAGGTCGTCCACCAGGAACTTGGGCACGTTGACGTCGCGGATGGCGCGCAGCACAATCACATCCTCAGGCATGTCTGGGAAGGCGCGCTTGAGGTTGCCTGCAGCGCTAATGACCGTCTTGACAGCACGCATGCCGAAATCGTAGTGGTCCTGGGAAGACAGCTGCTCCGAGGACAGCTTGAAGACGGTGGTGATCTTGCGCGCGAGGGACTTGGCGTTGTCGAACCCAAATGAGTAGAGCATAATCTCTGCAATCATGGCGTAGTCTGGCACCATCATGGCGACGGGGCGGAAGAGGGCAGCGAGGTTGTCTGGCAGCTCGGTGCGGCCGGCGTAGCCGGGGTTCATGGTGATGAAGGGCGCACACGTCCAGCGCAGCGAGAGCTCCACGCCCTCGAACCAGAAGCGCTTGTCGCGGTTGCGGATGGCTTGCTGGATGGTGGACACCTGCTGTGCCACGACAGAGAGCACCTCAATGTCGATGCGGTTGAACTCGTCGAAGCACGCCCAGGCGCCGGAGGAGGCGAGGCCCTTGAAGAACTTGCCCATGGCCTGGTAGTCCAGCTGGTCGGAGCAGTTGAAGACGACGCATTGGACGCTGAGCGCCTTGGCCAGATCCTTGGTCGTCTCCGTCTTACCGGTGCCGGCGGGGCCAGCGGGCGCACCGCCATACACGAGAGCAAGGGCGCCCGTCAGGGTGAGGTAGCAGCGATCCGTGAGCGGGGTGATGACCAGGCGGCCAGAGTTGCCCAGGTACTCGTAGCCGTAGTTGAAAACGGCGTTGACGGCCTTGATGTGCAGGTCCTCGCCCTGCGGACGCTCGTCCTCCTCCCAGTAGTAGCGCAGCTGCGAGATCCACTCAAAGTCGCTCACGCGCCCGACACTCAGGTTCTTGATGTTGCCCATGACGTCCTTGGCGTGCACCTCAATGACAATGAGGGCGGAGATGACCTTGCGCTTGATGCGGTCGAGCTTGCCGCGGATGAGGGCCACGAGGTCCAGCAGCTGCTTCTGCATGTTGGCGTATGCCTTCTCCAGGCCGCTGGGCCCGCCCAGGATGGCCTCCTCCACCTGCGCCGTCCACATGGCCTGGCAGCACGCAATCACAATCTGGCCCGGCCAGTCAAGCACAAACTGGGTGCGCTCCGTGTCGGCGTAGCTCTTGAGGGCCTCGTGGAAGATGCTGCGCAGGCTGACCACCATGACGCGCTCCACCTCCAGCAGCCAGTCTTCCACGTTGCCCTTGGGGTACAGTTCCTCCTTGAACTCGACGCTCTCGCCGTCGCTCGAGTTGAAGCGCGACATGCGCAGGTCGTCCTCGAAGGTGAGCCGCGCAATGTTGTCGAAGCACTTGCGCATGTGCGGCTGCACCGCTGTCGGGTCCTTGGTCTGCGAGAGAATCTCGAGCAGCTCCTCGTCGGCGAGGAAGTAGAAGCGCGGGAACACGCCCCGCTTCGTCTCCAGGTACGCGCTCAGGCCCTTCTGCACCTGGTCCAGCAGCTTGTTGCACTCGCGGAACGTCTCCAGCAGGTGCTGATCAGAGCAGAAGCTGATGACGCTTGGGTTGCGCTGGGCAGCGTCCATGGAGCGACGCCACATGTAGTCCACCTTCTGGTAGCGCTTCGACTCTGTGGGCAGCTGCCGCTGGATGTCCTCGGAGCTGAAGATGGGCTCGAGGTAGAGCCAGTTGCGCTGGCACACCGTCCATTCCTCAAGCACGTCCTGGGTGACACGCAGCTTGTTCTCCCATGTGGCGATGCGGTCCTCAAACGCCTTCTTGTAGGGCGAGAAGGACATGGCTTGCGTCATGACAATGTGGTCATCCAGCAGCTGCGCGCTCTCCTCTGCAGACTTCATGATGCACGTGCCCGTCTCCTTGTAGGGCATAATCTCCAGCTGAATCGGCGCCCACTCGGCCTCCATCTTGTCCAGCGCTTGCTCAATGCCGTACTCCTTGCCCGCAATCTCGCCAACCTGTCAATGTACGTGGGTAGGTTTGGGGGGTTGTGTGGTGGATTAAGTGAGAGTATAGTTGTGGGAGTGGGTGTGGGACGGTTGGGGGTGGGAGGAGTGGGGAAGCAGAGCGAGGCGAGCGAAGGCGAGCACGCAGACATGGACAGAGACAAAGACAAAGACAGAGACAGAGACAAGGACAGAGACATAAAGAAACTGGCTCATCTAGACGTGCAGCAGCATCACAGCACACACACACATACGCACATGCATGCACACGCATGCACATGTAGGGGCGCCCAGGCCAAACACGCTGCACACCTTTGTGATGACGTCCATGTACTTGTCAAGCTGCAGCTGCAGAACCTTCTTGAAGGTGAATCCTGCGCTCGGCTTGACGTCAAAGCCAAGGTGTTCGGAGAGCTTGGTCCAGTGCCGCTCGCGCATGCCGGGGTTGCGCAGGGCTTGGATCAGCGGTGCATATGGCTTGAACTCCTCAATCCATCCGCGCACCGTCTCGGCGACCTTGAGGCAGCCAGGCACGTCCCTGAAGGCCTTGAGGCACTTGTTGATGGTCTTTGACGCGCTGTTGATCTGCGTCTCCATCGCCTCGGGATCAAGCTCAGAGAAGTTGTCGTGCATCCACACCTACAATGTGTGCCGGTGTGGTGTTGGCGAGGGGATGGGGTGTGGAATATGGAATGTGGGTGTGGGAATGGTGAGTGTGTGATGGGATGGGTGGGAATGGGTGAGTGTGCGAATGGTGAGTGTGAAGTGGGTGTGATGTGTAGGACGGATTGTGATGTGTGGGTCGAATTGTGGTGTGTTGGAGATGTGTGCGAAGGTCGTGTTGTGTGCGGATGCCGCGCCGTGTGTGATGGCTAGCTTCGTGTTGAACGTGCAGAACAAGTGCGACAAGGGACAGGAAGGGACAGGGGTGCATCTCAAACATCAACACATGCAGTACACGAGCCGCCAAGGATAAAAACATAAAAGCATCGATAAACGCGTTTGGCGGCACCCGCACCTTGTGGGACTTGAGCCATTCGTCGGTGGTGAGCCAGAGGTTCTTGAAGGGCTCAAAGTCTTTGACGCAGCGGTTGAGGTGCTCGTAGTCTGTGACGGGCAGGTTGCACAGCCGCTCCCTGTTGTTGTACTTGGTGGCCAGCTCCTGGCTCTCCTTGAGTGCCTTGGCAATCTTGCGCACCTCCACGGCAACGTGCTCCGTCTTCTTGATGTCCTGGTGCTGCGCAAAGCCGGCCACAATCATCTGCAGGCTGGCCACGTTCTCGGCAAACTCCTTCTGGTCCGTGCCGAGGTTGTCGATGAAGCGCTCCTGGTCCGAGTCCAGCACCTCCCGCGTGTTGTGCAGCTGCTCTGCAATCTTCTTGGGCCACCCGTACACGTCCCAGCGCAGGGCAAAGTCGCTGTCGGAGAGGCTGACGTTGAAGGCTTCCAGGAGGTCCCACTCTGCGAGCGTGCGCTTGATGTTTCCTTCCAGGGACTTGACCGTCTCCGGCACCGTCTTCATAAACTCGCGCTGGTCCATGAGCTCCTCGATGCCGTTTGGCCGCGAGAAGAGCACCTGCGCCATGCGGTTGAACTGGCCCGTGATCTCCGACGCCTGCGTTCGCAGTTTCGTGCACAGCAGCTCCAGCAGCGCGTCCGAGAGCTTCTTGCACTTGGCCATGAGCTTGCCGCGCAGCTCGATGCACGACACGTGGAAGATGCCAATGTCCACCGAGTTTGGAATCTCCTTGCCGATGCGCTCGCGCGCGCGCATGTGCTTCTCGCACTCCTTCTTGACGTCGTTGGCGTCGCGGTCGTCGGCCATAAACTCCTCCAGGTAGGACGCCACGTCCAGATCAACCAGCTCGCGGTAGCGCTCGTACATGCGCAGGTACGACTCCAGCGGGCGAATGCAGCGCGAGATGTTCTCCGTCACGCTGTCGCGCAGCTCGCACACCCAGGGCTCCTGCTTGTTGACGGACTCCAGCGTGGGTGTGCCCACCCAGAAGAGGTGTGTCATGATGAGGGGCTCAATGTCGAGCATGTTGGCGGTGGCGGCAATGCCCTCGTCGAAGATGTGCGTGATGGTGCGGGTGAACTCCTTCATGGGCGTGGAGAAGGTGAACTCGCGGCGCTCCTCGTCCACGTTGAGCGTGATGAGGAAGAGCGGGTTGACGCCGTCGGGCGCCAGGTGCGTGTCGTACAGGTGCTCGCTGCCCCACTCGTCCGCATTGTGGCGAATGACGGGCTCTGAGCAGCGCCGCAGCGCGGTGGTGAGCCCGCGCACGGACTGCTTGACCAGCGTGCGCAGGGCGTCCTGCATGACCAGCTTGATGAGGCGGAAGAGGCGCTTGAGCTTGCCCTTGTCGTAGGCGTGCTGGTCTGTCTCCTGCAGGTTGAACCAGCCCTTGCCGAAGGAGCGCAGCGAGGAGATGACGACATTCTTGGTGGCAGGCACCCACACGTTCTTCAGGAAGCCGTGCACGTGCTGGTACGTCTGCGTCTGCATGAGCTGGAACTCGTCCAGGACCATGTACTTCATGAGGTTGATGTTGAAGAGTGACTGCGTGGTGACCTTCTCCGCCTCCAAGTGCACCTTGGCCAGCGCGTTCTTGACGGCCTTGTTGATGGTGAATGCGCCCGAGCGAATCACAGACTGCCGCTCGTCCATGTCAAACGGCGGCACGGCCACGCGCCCTTGCTCCGGCACACGCTCGCGGGGCCGGGGAGGAATGACAATGTCGGCAAAGAGGGCGGGCTGCGTGAGGCGTAGGCGCGGTAGCACCTTCTCCATGACAAGTTCGTTCATGCATCGCCCGTACAGCAGCGCCACTTCCTCCTTCAGGCGCTTGACCGTGGCCTGCTTCGTCGCGTCTCCTTTCCTGCAAGGATGGAGGAGGTGGTGAGTTTTGGGGCGGAGGAGGTGGTGAGGGTGAGGGGGATGTGGGAGGGGGGATAAGTAGGATCGTGAGAGATCATGAGCAAATGAAAACATGGCAACAGCAGGAAGGGGGCTGTAAAGGTTTGGGGGGGTGAAAACGGGCGACTGTGGCACACACACACACACACACACACACACACACACACACACACACACACACACACACACACACACACACACACACACACACGACGACGGTACGGGTACGGTACG